GGAAACTGATCCAAGAAAGCCAGATTTCTGGGTTCTTATAGAAGTAGATAATACTTTTCAAGAGATACTTTATGAAGAAAACTCTGGTGGTCCTTTTGTTAATGACCCTAAAAAATTTAAGTCTGATTTATATAAGCTGTTCCGACTGGGACGTGATTCAACCCAAAAAATGGGAGTTCAACTTATTGATGATAATCTTCAATTTTTATCAGATTATGAATCCTTGTACGAAAAGTTATGTAAAATTGAGCTATTTCTAATGCAGGCATATGGTATTATCTTTTTTTTTATTTAATAGATACTTTTAGAATATACTCATTTTTCATTTTTTTAAATAGGAACAAATCTTCGTATTTGTATTATGGACCAACCTGCTCCTCCATTGTGTCGTGTTCGTGAACTTTTCAATATTCCAATACCTTATAAATTACCCGTAGACAGAATTTCTGTTTTGTATTTTGTTCACAATCTTTGGAAAGTTCATTTAGGTTTTATAGAAACAATAGAAAAAATGTGTAATGTAGATCAAATTATAAATAGATCACGTCAAGAACCAACAATTCAACATGTGTATGATTTACCGACATTAACTATTCAAGATTTTACATCTTTCCCAACTCCATAGACGAACTAGTTTATCAATATTTCAACTTGTATATAATAATGCATTGAAATAAATATATGATAAAAAGGTTGCTAAAATTTTTGACTTTTGCTCTCTTATTTGATGCGACTGGATTATAGCGAGATAAAATTTTATTGTTACAAAGAAATAAAACTAGCCTTGGTGGCTAACTTCAGTGCGTACATAATCAGTTTACTTTTGCGTGTATTTACATTGTACTGGTATCGATGTATACATATGATCGATATTTTTTATCTAAATTTTTCTTGGCAAAGTATCGGCGTTCCGAAACAGAACGCACACATAATTTTTATTAATTCGAAATTTTGAATAAATATGTATCTTATATAAAAATTATTATCAAACATGTCGTCAGAGCTTGAATTATTGAGACAACAAGTTACCAAGCTTGAAACTGAAAATACCAAATTAAAACAGATCATCGAAGAAATTGCTAATCTTAGGATCGAAAATACAAGACTAAAACAAATCATAAAACAAAATCGGACTACTAATGATGCTTCACAAGTACCTATTCTATCACATATTAATGGTCACTCTGATAGCACCGACTCTTCCCCTGAAATAAATTCTAACAATACTCCTAAACACGTAGAAAATACATCCGATGACGCATCTAATCCAGATATATGCCAGGAGTCGAAGAATCAATGCTTCACATCACCTATCTATATGAAGCCTAAATCGTTAGAAGATAATATGGTTGATGATTTTCTGGATTTGCAAAACAAGGAAATAATTAGTAATATGATGAGAGAGAGAAATAGAGAAAAGAAATTTAAAGATCAAGAATTGATACAAAAAACATCTGCTGAATCGGAGCAAATGTCCATTGATCAAACACACAATGCTATTTCTCCCGAAATAAAGATTCCTTATGATCAGAAAGTAGAACGAGGCCTAATGCATGAATTATCTGTCTGTGCTAAGAAAAATCTTACCATACAAGAAATAAACGTGCAAATTCCTGATCTTCCTCTAGAAAAAATATTAATAGGTTCTGATGAAGTTACGGCTCAGATTATAGTAGACTTGTTTAACACGGCGATGAAAACTAGACAAAAGGAGAATTTATGTTGGTATTGTTACACTAAAGCGTATGAAAATCGAGTTAATGATATTAAATCCAAGAATAAAATTGACGATCAATCAGCGAGAACTTTGGTATACAATGAAATCAAATTGCTCCTTCCCGATATTAGTGATGTAAATTTGCGTAAGAGAAGTTTTAAAGCTAAAAAAGTATATACGTTATTTGAAGGAATAGGAATAGATAAGATTAGGCAAATAACTTACAGTGCAAATGCTATCTCAAGTTTAAAAGATGATCAGATTCAAAATATTATAAATTGTTTCCCAAAAAAACCAGCAAATCTAGACAATATAGTTAATTGCCAAAAAAAGATCAGCGTTCCGAAACAGAACGCGCACATGACTGAACCATCTAGCTCAAAATACATATCAAATATTAAGGCAAGTATACCTACTGAATCATCCCATACCTCTAATTCGGAAAATATGATAAGTGAGGATAACAAATCTTTACCGGAGACTAAGGTAAATACTCAATCTAATCTAACGCCTAATGACCGCACCTCAGAAATTCTTATCAGAAATGAATCAGATATAGATTCTATCATTCTTCTATTGCAACAAAAGTTCAAAAAAATCCCGAAACAAATGTTAGATAAATGGCGAGATAATATTACCTTTGAAATGCGAGATAACCATAATTACTGGAAAG